ACCCCCCTGTCTTTGGGCTGTTCTGCTTCAGTAATTACCATGGTAACAGCAACGTATCATCATCATCACCACTGCTGCTGCTACAACAGGAAACAGTCGTAGAGACAGAGTGTTAATTTAGCCAGTGTGTGTGTGTGTGTGTGTGTGTGTGTGTGTGTGAGTGAGTGTATCAATGTATGGTGATAATTTCTTTTAACACACACACAGAACCTTAGAGGAAAAATCCAACATTCATATATAAAACACATTAACATGTTTTGGTGTCAGATAATTATCACTTTCTTTTAAATTTAGATTTTTAAATTTTTAAAATTAAACAGTCAAAACTTTTAAAATTAAACTTAATTAAAAACAAAAACTGACCCTGAATCTTTCACCACTCAGTTTCTCCTTGTTTTTCCGTTCACTAAAAAAACAAATGTAAATTTTTCCTACTTTGCATTTAATTTTTTTTTTCTTTTTAGTTTTTGCTTCAGTTTCACATTTGAATTTTCTTTTTCATTCTTTTGGAGAATTTTCACATCATTTTGATTTAGTTAGACTTTTTTCTTAGACCTTTACATTTAATCTTACTTTTATAAACTTAACAGTCGTTTCTACAATTTCTGTTTCGTTTGAATTTAGTTTAGTGTCTATTACTTCACATAAATATTTAGTTTATTCTTTATATAATACATTATTTTTATTTATATTTATATTGTTAGAGACCTTTACACGCCTTTACACAAAGAATAATAATTTAAAGAGTAAACATCGAAAACAAATGAACCATGAAGCTGAACAGATGTGTTTGAATCTGAGTGTAAACAAATCTGAAAATAAGAGCAGCAGCAGTAACAGCAGCAGTAACAGCAACAGTAACAGCAGCAGTAACAGCAGCAACAACAGCAGCAGCAACAGCAGCAGCAACAGCAGCAGCAACAACAGCAGCAACAACAGCAGCAGTAACAGCAGCAGCAACAGCAGCAGTAACAGCAGCAACAACAGCAGCAGCAACAGCAGCAGCAACAACAGCAGCAACAACAGCAGCAGTAACAGCAGCAGCAACAACAGCAGCAACAACAGCAGCAGTAACAGCAGCAGTAAAAGCAGCAGTAACAGCAGCAGCAGTAACAGCGGCAGTAACAGCAGCAGCAGTAACAGCCGCAGTAACAGCAGCAGTAACAGCAGTAACAGCAGCAGTAACAGCAGCAACAACAGCAGCAGCAACAGCAGCAGCAGCAACAACAGCAGCAGTAACAGCAGCAGTAACAACAGCAGCAGCAACAGCAGCAGCAACAACAGCAGCAACAACAGCAGCAGTAACAGCAGCAGCAGCAGTAGTAACAGCAGCAGTAACAGCAGCAGCAACAGCAGCAGTAACAGCAGCAGTAAAGTGGAGGAATGTTCATGTTACATCAAAACCACAGCAAACGGCAAACAAAGAGAAGCTGTCTGAGAGTCAGGAGTCTCTGAGGAAGAGGAGGAGGAGGAGAATGGGGAGGAGGTGGGGAGTGGAGAGGAAGAGGAGGAGGAGGAGGAGGAAGGAGGGTTGTGTGTAACAGAGTGTAGATGTGAGAAAGAAAAAAAATAGAGAAAGTCTTTTTTCCCCTTTTCCTCCCTCTCTTCCTCTGTGTGTGTGTGTGTGTGTGTGTGTGTTAGCAGGAGAAGCAGAACAGGGCCAGAGCTTCCCCTGGTGGTCAGTTCCTCAACTGCATTGCATAAGAAACGGTCTCAGCAGTTTTAGACCTTAATAAATTAAACTGATGAACTGAGTGATAAATAACTAATCAATAACTAATCAATAGTTTTCTGTCAGTGTCCTATTGTCAAACAGCAGGAGGAAGAATGTTGATCACTGCTGTGGAACTGACTGATCATCACTGATCATCTGTTATCAATCAATCTGAGGTCAGCTGACCAATCAGGACGTGGTCAGTACAGTTCCATTGGTTTTTGTCATAAGGTTTGTGCTCAAATATGAGAAGCTCTGTGATTGGTCAGAATCATGACACTGGGTCAGGTCGATTAAGACAAAATCAATCGATCACTAATCAATGGATGAATCAGTAACTGAGTGTGTGTGTGTGTGTGTGTGTGTGTGCGTTGTCTTCTCTTTTCACTCTCTGAATAAAATGACATTAAGAGCAGGAGGGTGAGAAAAGCAATCTGTCCTGGTCCTCCCAAGAGGGAGAGGGGGAGAAACAGGGAGAGGGTGAGAGAGCATGAGAGAGGGGGAGAGACAGAGGGAAAGGGTGAGAGAGAGGGGGGTGAAAAGAGGGAAAAATGGGGGAGAGAGATAATAAAAAATGTTTAAAAAAAAGAGGAATAAAAGAAAAAAGTGAAGGACGAGAGGACGGGAGGACGAGAGAGAGACTGAAGACAAAGTGTGGACACTGGACACACACTGAGGTTGAAGGCCGTGGACACAGACAGGTCACATGGACAGTTACATGTGGACAGAACACATGGACCTTGAACCAAACTGTGGACACTGACTAAAGGAAACTGAGTGAGGACAGGCTGACACTGAGGACCAGAGGACACTGAGGACCAGAGGACACTGAGGACCAGAGGACACTGACTATAGACACAGTTCGAGGAAGTGTCCAGATTAAGTACAAAGACTGGGACACTGAAAAGACGTAGACTTATTCTGTCCATTCACTGTGGACAGAATAAGACACGCCTTTAAGAGGACACAGATCCTATGGTGCTGGTTTTGGACATGGTCTCATGGACATACTGTAGATTAGGGACTGACTGAAGACACACCTGTCTGTCTCTGTGTCCCGCTGCAGTAAAAGCTGCTGAACATGTTTTTTCAGAGAAGTGAAGACATCGTCGTCTCCTTTGTTGTCGTCCCGCTGCGTTTTCCTGTTTTTATTTCCTGGAGATCAGATCTTTCTGTTTTTGCTGATTTTCTTTCTCATGAATAAAAAATGTTGAGCTGCAGACGACGTGACGTTTCTCCTGCTCGCAGAAAATCAAAGTAGGACTAAAGTCTGTCCTCTGGGACGTCTCTGTGGTTTCCTCCCTGTACGTCTTCAAGACTGTCATGTCTCAGGTTTGACTCGCTTCTCAGACGCCGGCGGCGCTGCGTGTGAGGTCTGACTACAGGAGCCCGGAGGGTCCATGTCCATGTCCATGTCCATGTCCATGTCCATGTCCATGTCCATGTCTCAGCCTCAGGTGGTGGAGCAGATATTTGTCCAGACCAGGTTCAGATGGAGTCCAGGATCAGTCCAGCTCAGTCTAGAGAGAAAAAGACCAGGAAAAGGAATTTGTGTGTGTGTTATAAGATGGACCCAAAACTGACCTCTGGTCTGACCTCTGACCTCTGATCTACCCCTTCAGCGTGTTATTAATATGATCTTTTCTCTTCTCTTCATTTTCAGCTACTTTAATATTAGCTACTTGTTATTTTAAGTGGTATTATTTTTCTGACTAACATGAACTCAGCGCTGTGCTAACCGTTAGCTGCCCACTGGCTAACTCCTAGCTAACTCCTAGCTAACTCCTAGCTAACTCTTGGCTAACTTTTGTTCATCGTCAGCAGAAACTCAGAGGTCTCAGTTACAGTGAATTCTCTTCATATTCAGAGTTGATATTCTTCATTAAGAACTGTGTCTTTGGTTCCTGTACAAATTAATTCAAGGGTTTTGTTTCGTGCTGTGCACGCACACACACACACACGCACACACACACACACACACACCCACACACACACACACACACAGAGAGAGTGTGTTTTGCTGTGTGAGCACTTTGTTGCTTCATAAATATGATTCGCTGTTTTCTCCTGATTGGCTTTTTTCTGTAGCGGCGACGAGGGAATTATTGATTGATTTACTCACTGCATGAAAATAATTGTACACACACACACACACACACACACACACACACACACACACAGATGTACATTAGCATTTAAAGAGGGAAAGTTTCAACATTTATATAAAACAAACTAATCAATGAACAATTAAAATACAACTGCAGGTCTGCGTGTGTGTGTGTGTGTGTGTGTGTGTGTGTGTGTGTGTGTGTGGGATCTCCACCACCTCCTCACTGATGGTTAGAACTTCTGAACTGACTCTATAAACCCCCTGGCCTACACACAGAACCTCTGTAGAACCTCCTAGAACATCACCACCATCATCTGTCACTGTCACAGGGTCAGGTCATGACCTTTCAGAACCAACCCTTGGAAGTTCTTCCCTTACCCTTGAAATCTCTTCAGTGACCCTCTAGACATTTTCACTGACCTCTAAATAGCCCCCGCCCCAGCCCCTCAGAACCCTCCACCTCCTCCAGGGTTTTTACTGTTACTGACTGTGTGTGATTTAGGGAGAGAAGCTCCAGGTGTTTTAACTTTTCAGCAGATAAAAGTCATGTTGGTTTTTAAATTACAACACCCACTTGCACGCACACACACACACACACACACACACACGTGCACACACACACACCTACTTTCCCTCGCATTTGTCTGAGTGATGAGAAAGTGTCGTCTTAGCAGAAAATGAATGCTCTTTAACACATCTGCTGATTTAAACCTCTCCCTCCTCCATCTCCGTCTCCCCTCTTCCTTCTTCTTCTTTATCTACCTGTCTGTCTCCTCCTTCTCCCCCTCCCTCCCCCCTCCCTCGGTCTTTTATTACTTCCCACTCGACTAAGTCTAACACTCTTCACCTTTGGCGTGTCGTCGGTCGGCCACTGACATTTTGTTAGACGTCGTTAAGGCTGGTGGTGCCATAAAGAACCAGAGGCTGACAAAGACCACCCTGTTACTGTTACTGTTACTGCTCCTGTTACTGCTGCTGTTACTGCTGCTGTTGCTGCTGCTGCTACTGTTACTGCTGCTGCTGTTACTGCTGCTGTTGCTGCTGCTGTTACTGCTGCTGTTACTGCTGTTACTGCTGCTGTTACTGCTGCTGATGTTACTGCTGCTGTTACTGTTACTGTTACTGCTGCTGTTGCTGCTGCTGTTACTGCTGCTGCTGTTACTGTTACTGCTGTTACTGCTGCTGTTACTGCTGCTGCTACTGCTGCTGCTGCTGCTGCTGTTACTGCTGTTACTGCTGTTACTGCTGCTGCTGCTGCTGCTGCTGACCAGGAGTCATAGTTCTTATACATAGTTCTTATTTAAGGTCTGGATTAACCTTCTTTTCTGTACGACTAATCAAGTTTCACGATACGAGCCTCATAAAAACTGTTAGCGTGCGTGTACACGTGCACACACACATGTATGGAAATGTGAGTGCACAGAGCAAAGGTGGAGGAAGAAGAACTCACAGCTTTGACTCTGGTGAGTAAAGTATTATCAGCACAGGAACATAAAAACTTTACGACTTCCATCTAAAAGTCCAGCAGATCCATAAAGCTCAGGTTCTAATGAAGAACAGTGAAGAGTGCAGGAGAGAACTGAGAACAAAGGAACCAGCTCAGAGACAACAAACTCATCAGTGACCCTGGACGTTCCTAACTGACCCCCAGAACCTGCCGGCTGATCCAGTCAACTACCACACTGACCACTGGAGCTGGTACTGGACTCAGGTCCACTTCACTGACCCCCAGAACCTGGAGGTGTTGGGGAGTTCTCTTCTGTTGTCAACATGAACAAACCTGAAACCAACAACTTCAGGCTGAACTCCTGACAGACGTGCTGTGGGCGGGGCTACTGTTCGAGTTCTTTGTTCCTTTTTTTATTTTGGTTCAAAGAAACGCACACACACACACACACACACACACACACGGGTCTACTCGCAGTGTGATAGCATACACACACACTGACAGTTTGACAGGTTGTGTGTGGGAAGTCAACAGAGCAGCAGAGAGAGGTCGGCCTGGGTTAAATTACTTTGTGTGTGTGTGTGTGTGTGTGTGTGCGCGCTAATGCAGAGTTAAAGATTTTTCTTTAAACATGTTGTATGGTCTTGACTCACGGTCACACTGACGCAGTTTCATTAAGTTTATGTCCTTTCAAGTCAGAGATTTAGTCAAAAACATTCTCATCCTCAGAGACAGAGACCCCAGCACAGTAATAACAGGACCATGGACAGAGGGACAACATTACCACAGTAATAACAGGACCATGGACAGAGGGACAGATCTACCACAGTAATAACAGGACCATGGCCAGAGGGACAGGTCTACCACAGTAATAGCAGGACCATGGACAGAGGGACAACATTACCACAGTAATAACAGGACCATGGATAGAGGGACAGGTCTACCACAGTAATAACAGCTCCATGCTCTGAGGAACAGTTCTACCACAGTAATAACAGGACCATGGCCAGAGGGACAGGTCTACCACAGTAATAACAGCTCCATGCTCTGAGGAACAGTTCTACCACAGTAATAACAGGACCATGGATAGAGGGACAGGTCTACCACAGTAATAACAGGACCATGGCCAGAGGGACAGGTCTACCACAGTAATAACAGCTCCATGCTCTGAGGAACAGTTCTACCACAGTAATAACAGGACCATGGATAGAGGGACAGGTCTACCACAGTAATAGCAGGACCATGGACAGAGGGACATCATTCCCACAGTAATAACAGGACCATGGACAGAGGGAAAGGTCTACCACAGTAATAACAGGACCATGGACAGAGGGAAAGGTCTACCACAGTAATAACAGGACCATGGCCAGAGGGACAGGTCTACCACAGTAATAACAGCTCCATGCTCTGAGGAACAGTTCTACCACAGTAATAACAGGACCATGGCCAGAGGGACAGGTCTACCACAGTAATAACAGCTCCATGCTCTGAGGAACAGTTCTACCACAGTAATAACAGGACCATGGACAGAGGGACAGCATTACCACAGTAATAACAGGACCATGGATAGAGGGACAGGTCTACCACAGTAATAACAGGACCATGGACAGAGGGAAAGGTCTACCACAGTAATAACAGGACCATGGCCAGAGGGACAGGTCTACCACAGTAATAACAGGACCATGGACAGAGGGACAACATTACCACAGTAATAACAGGACCATGGATAGAGGGACAGGTCTACCACAGTAATAGCAGGACCATGGACAGAGGGACATCATTACCACAGTAATAACAGGACCATGGCCAGAGGGACAGGTCTACCACAGTAATAACAGGACCATGGACAGAGGGACATCATTCCCACAGTAATAACAGGACCATGGCCAGAGGGACAGGTCTACCACAGTAATAACAGGACCATGGACAGAGGGAAAGGTCTACCACAGTAATAACAGGACCATGGCCAGAGGGACAGGTCTACCACAGTAATAACAGGACCATGGATAGAGGGACAGGTCTACCACAGTAATAACAGGACCATGGACAGAGGGAAAGGTCTACCACAGTAATAACAGGACCATGGCCAGAGGGACAGGTCTACCACAGTAATAACAGGACCATGGACAGAGGGAAAGGTCTACCACAGTAATAACAGGACCATGGATAGAGGGACAGGTCTACCACAGTAATAACAGGACCATGGCCAGAGGGACAGGTCTACCACAGTAATAACAGGACCATGGACAGAGGGACAGGTCTACCAGAGCTCATCCTTCTTGGTTCGGCTCAGTTTCTACCCCTTCAGCAGATGTAAACTCATCTGTTCTGACTGTTTTTGGTTTAACCACATCTGATGTTTGATCTTTACCTGCTCTCCTCATTCTAGCGGGTCAGCGGGTCAGTCTATAGACAGTCCAGAACCTGGGACCGTCCTCAGTGAGGGGCCTACCTTAGCCTCTTAGCCTTTCACCAGAGCCAAACAAACTGTTTCTCTGTTATGCCCTCCTGTCACCAGCCAGACTGGCTGAGCAGGCGGCGGCCGACCTCGACCTTCAGCAGCACCTGGGAGGACAAAGGTGTCACTGGAGACAGACGGAGATGGACGACATCAGAATCCATTCAGAGATGTTAATAAAATCAAAGAGCCTGATATGATCAAGCATGAAGTACATTAGAAAGGTAATGTGACTTTAAAGCTGAGACTTTCATTATGAAAAACAGAAGAGCGAGGGAGAGAGCGTGGAGCGCACGACGCAAATTTATGAGGCCGACTTCCTGAATCTAATAGAAGGAGTCAGGTGTTACTAATGGACGAGAGAGGGAGGTAATAGAGGAGAGAGAAAAGGAGAAGGAGGAGAAGTGGGGAAATGAAGACAGACGAGGAAATGAAAAAGTTAGAAAGTGAGGGAAGTAAAGAAGAGAAAAATGAAAAAAGGAGGAATAATGAGGAGGAGAAGGGAGGAGCAAAAACAATAAAGGTGGAGGAAAAAGAGAACTATGAGAAGGAAACACAGGAGGAGTAGAGGAGAAAATAACAAAGTGGAGATAGAAAGAATAAAACGGTAGAAATGTTTCAAAAAGAGAGAGACAATGAAGTGATGGGGAGGATGAGGAGAAAGAAGGTCGAGGGAACGGTAGACAGATACAGCGAGAGGTGAAAGTTTGGTGGAAAAATGTGAGGAGAAGGTCGTGGGCAGTCGAGGTAGACAGTAAAGAAGAATTAAAAAATAAACAGCACCATGGACAGCAACACTACAGACGTCACTACGTACCAACTGTATGACATTTCACCAAAGACAAGACATGCAGTTTGAGATGATGTCTGAGTGTCTTCAGGACCATGGACAGAGGACATGCCGTTCCTAACATCCTGGATGAAGTTTTGGAAAGATCTCCATCACTGGTCTCCGCTCCCATTTGTGTGTATGTGTGTATGTGTGTGTGTGTGTGTGTGTGTGTGTGTGTGTTTTAATGAGAGTCGATAAAAGCCGCTGCACTCTTTGATGTTGACACTGTTTCAGCACATGAGCAGGAAACGCAATTGATTTAACCTGAGTTAATTTCCCAGTCTTACCACATATGAGTTTGTGTGTGTGTGTGTGTGTGTGTGTGTGTGTTAAATTAAATAAGCTGTTGTGTTTTTTGCAGGGGCCAGCAAACATTGTTAGCTTTACAAGCTGATCAGTCAACTAAAACTATGTCGCTAATTAAAACCTGAGTCTGTGTGTGTGTGTGAGAGAGAGTGTGTGTGTCTGTGTGTGTGTGTGAGAGTGTACCTCCGGCCATTTCATAGGTGTCAATCTGATGTTGAACTCTGGACGATGGAGTAGACGGGTCAACAAACTCACAACTCACACTTTTCTCTTTTTTTCATTTCTCCATTTCTGTTCCTCTTCTGCTGACACTCTGTCTGCCTGTCATCCCTCCCTCTACCTCCCTCTACCTCCCTCTCTCTCTCTCTCTCTCTCTCTCCCTGGGTAGCTGTCATTCACTCAGTTACTCAACCGACACATTACCAGTTTCCGTACACACACAGCCACACACACACTTACACACACACAGCCACACACACTGACCATCATTACCAGGCTGCAGTGAAGCAGAAAAGCTCAGTAATAGCAGGTCACCGCCCTCTGAGTCTGGGTGTGTGTGTGTGTGAGTGAGAGTGTGTGTGTGTGTGTTGACCAGTTGGCAGTCTATTAGTGTGATGTGATGGACTGTGTTTGGCCAGAGTGTGTGTGTGTGTGTGTGTGTTTTCATGTTGCTGCTGAGTTCTGCAGCAAACTTCATCAAACGTCAGCACTCAGTCGTGCCTGTGTTTCTTTTTTCTCCTTTTCTTTTACTTTCCCCAAATCTTGTGTTTTTGGCATCTGTCTGTGTGTGTGTGTGTGTGTTGAGAGTTTGATCTGTTCCGTGTTAAAGCATCAGCACCACGGACAGCGACACCTTATCAACAGAAGTTGTAAAGAATCAAGGACAAAGAGGAAAAAAACCTGACATTTGAACTTTTCTGGTTCTGAACTTCTCACACATCAAATGTTTGATCGTCCAAACACCACTTTACAAACATGACTTTACAAACACCACTTTACAAACACCACTTTACAAACACCACTTTACAAACACCACTTTACAAACACCACTTTACAAACACCACTTTACAAACACCACTTTACAAACACCACTTTACAAACACCAACAAACACCACTTTACAAACACAAACACCACTTTACAAACACCACTTTACAAACACCACTTTACAAACACCACTTTACAAACACCACTTTACAAACACCACTTTACAAACACCACTTTACAAACACCACTTTACAAACACCACTTTACAAACACCACTTTACAAACACCACTTTACAAACACCACTTTACAAACGTCACACATTTGACCATCAAATCCATTTCACATCTGTTCTCCTGCTAAAAGTCCAGAAATGACTTGAAACACAGGAAATTAATTTTTCCCACTGTGTGACAATTCAAAAATTAATTGGATTGGACGTGCAGCGCCGGCCCACAGTTATGCCCCGCCCCCCAGATTAAGGATTGTGTGGTTAAAGGAAGGTGAGGTGAAGAACTGTGAGGAAGACGTTAGTCAGGGATCAGTGTTACACATGTTCAGCTGCTCCAAGTACAGCAGGGTCATGTGTGTAGAACAGGACTAAAAACAAATGTGTGTGTGTGTGTGTGAGAGAGAGAGAGAGAGAGAGACAGAGACTGTTACAGGTCTGATTGTGACTCCTCTGTTCCAGCAGATGAACCAGTGATGCAGATCAGAGCCGATGTCTGCTTTAATATTTTATATCAGGGGCTGGATAATTCAAACACACACACACACACACACACACACACGTACATTGTTGTCTTCCTGCTGCTGAAAGATTCACGTCACATCAAAGATTCACGAGGATTTTACTTCTGTCTTAATGAATCTGAGTCCATTTGTTCACATTTAAATAAGCCACAAGCTGAGTGTGTGAGTTCACGCACACACACACACACACACAGATTTCACAGGGTTAGGGTCAGACAGCTTTCAGCCTGCAGCTAAACAGAGATGAGAGGTTTCCTGTTTCAACTTTGACTGTCATGAATAAACCATCACACACACACACACACACACACACACACACTAACACACACATTTATGTTCATGTGACAGGTTGGAGTGTTTGACAGAAAGAAGACAAATGTCAAACAGGACTTTAAGTCGTCCACTGTCGGTGTGTGTGTGTGTGTGTGTGTGTGTGTGTGTGTGTGTGTCCTGCTAACCTCTTCACAGATCATTTGTCTCATTAGTCCGACTGATCTTCTGTGTGAATGTTCTCACTTAGCTCTGAGAAGCTGCAGATGAATTTTTCAGATGTCTTCAAGTCCTCCCACATTCATCCAATCAGCTGCTCCGCTCCGTCCCAGGGCTGTAACGGGACAAGGAAAAGTTGTTTTGTTTCATTTCTTGAGAAGCAGAACTGGTGATCATCAAATTCAAACTGGTTATTTATTCAACTGTGTTTTATGCGTGCAAGTTACATAACTGACCACAGGAGGCAGCAGAGAGCCAGAGCTCTGAGTCATGTGACTGGTTTTTAGAGCACACATCATTTGGTGAAACCCAGGTCTTCCATTATGAGGTTTTCATTATTGGAGGAAAAACGTTAACGATTCATACAGATAACACAAAATATGCTAATATCGGGCCCATAATATCAGTCGGCCGATACAGGCCGATATAGTGGTGTTCAAAACACACACACACACACACACAAACTGATGATGAAGTCATTAGTAATAAACTCTGATGATTTTATTAATTTGTCCTTAAACACTTTTTATCTTCACTAGTTTCATTGTTTCCTCAGGAACATCATTAAGCTTAATTAGTGTGTGTGTGTGTGTGTGTGTGTGTGTGTGTGTGCAATGCCTTGCTCCAGGGCTTGGCAGCTGTTTCCGGTTAAACCTTCGACCTTGAGTCGACTCTTTCAAACTGGAGTAACTCTCTGTCACATGGTCTTGGAGGTTATGATGTCACTGTCCTGGCAGTGATGTCATCAGAGCAGGTGATAAATACTCAATACTACAAATACTAGTAATAGTGGCCATTAGGGGGCGCATGTTCCCTTATTTTAGAACCAGTTTTAGTTAATGGTTAGACCTCAGAGCTTTGAGCTCCAGATCAGAGGACACAGTAGAACACACTGAGGATGACTGACAGCTAATTAACTTCAGTGTGTGTGTAGATCAGACCTTGAGTGACGAGCCGCGGACGCTAGTGCGCTGTCCAGAGTGCTGAAGTCGCAGTCTTTAAACAGTAATTTAAATTTAAACTCAGATTTAGTCAGTGAGCTGAAATCACTCTGATGATGTCATCCCTGCAGGTCACATGACTCTTCTCTTTTCCCCTCATGAATCCAGATTTGTGTGTTAGCGTAGCTGCATTAGCTCGTTAGCCTCTCATTTGCATCCTTGAACTCTGACCTCCCTGGTCTCGTCAGTAAATGTTTGTTTGTGGATGCTGAGTCAAAGTAAATCCAGATGAAATAGGTCGGGAAAAAAGTAAAAATATAAAAAGTAAATCCAGATGAAATAGGTCGGGTCAAAGGTCAAGTTCCAACTGAAGTTGACAGACAACAGGTGGTGAGAAGCACGTGACGTTTGGTCACATGATGTGGAGGACGTTTGGTCACATGATGTGGAGGACGTTTGGTCACATGACTCCTGCCTCCATACTTTCAAAGGTTAATTAGACTTGAATGAAACTGTGATCAGAGGATTTTCACCTCTGTGTCCGTCAGTCTGTCTCTTCATCTCTGGTACTGACTCCTTCTTCTCCTCCTCCTCCTCCTCCTCTTCATCTAACTCTCTGTCTGTTGTAGCTGCAGGGCTCGCTGCAGCTGATTGGCTCCTGAATCACATAGGGACTGGCTGTGATTGGCAGCTGAGAGGCCACAGGAACAGGAACACAGGACTGCTAATTACTGACGAGAATGTGTGTGTGTGTGTAAGAGTGTGTGTGTGTGAGTGTGTGTGTCACCAGAGAAGATTAGCTGTCGTCCTCCGGGACACACACACTCGTCAGGTTTCTGTGTTCCACTGTTTTTGACACATTATAATTTTCTTGGTCGTCCTCAGGGTTGGACGCAACAACAGAGACGCTGTTTCTCTCTCACACACACACGCACACACACACGCAGACACACTGACATCTCAGTCAGGAAACAGAATCTCTGTCATATTTTATTTATTCAGACTGAACCTAAAAGAATCTTTTGCGTCTGTGTTTTTCTGGAGGCTTTGGTTTAGTCTCACCTGTGGTTAACCATCAGGATAACTAACATAAACCTGACCACAGAGTTAACCTGGAAACAGGAAATGATTTTAAAGTCTTTACCGTCAGTGAGAGACAGTGAAGGAGACAGAGTGCCCAGTGCACCATGGGAGTCCAGCAGCAGTCCAGGCCTACAGCCACCAACAGAACTCTGACTTCACCTCGTCACTGTGTCGGCCTTCACCTCCACCACGTCTGGGTTTTCAGAGTAAAGTGATCGGTTTGGTTCAAAACGTATATTCTCCTGTCCTCCTGTCCTCCTGTCCTCCTGTCCTCCTGTCTTCACATTCTTCTGTCCTGTTCTCATGATTTTACCTTCTCATATCCGTACAGTTTGTCCTGTACTGATGCGGTCCTCCTCCTTCTGCTGAAGGACTCGTGTGTTTTCATCCTCACTTCCTGTTCTCCCCATGTTCTCCTGACGTCCACGACATCGTCCATGACATCGTCCATGACATCATCCATGACATCATCCACGACATCGTCCATGACATCATCCATGACATCGTCCACGACATCATCCATGACATCGTCATGTGCGGTCCTGTCTGTCACTTCAGATCTGTCCTAAAGGTCGACGGCAGCCACTGAGTAAAAGCTAACGATGGAACGGAGCACATTACACCTGTGTGTGTGTGTGTGTGTGTGTGTGTGTGTGACAGGTCATTAACGATGTCCTAACGACAATCATAAAATGGAAAAATAAAACTTTTAATGTGAGCTGGTCATCACACATCTGCTGCGTGTGAGGGAGTGTGTACGTGTGTGTGTGAATGTGCACGTTGTCGTGCACAGGGGCGTGTCCGGAGGCTGGTCAGTTTGTCTCGTTAATGACCCCTCCCACCTTAACGAGGTAATGAGCTAATAATGAGAGCTCGTTAAAAGAGACAGACGGAGCTGAAGCCAATAAAACAACTGTGTGTGTGTGTGTGTGTGTGTGTGTGTGCAGACAGCTGTCAATCATATTTCATGTTAAATCTGCTGTAAATTTAAATCCATGTCTTCACCTCAAAAGCTGCTCTGGGTCCTTAAAGAACCTTCCAGGGATCCTTGAGAGTGTCCCGGGTTTTGAGGAGACCCCTGAGACCAGTCCTGAGTCCTGGACATTTCCTGGGGCGTCGTAACTTCTCAAAGGTTAAAAACATCAGGGCCGTGGACCTGAACAGAGGAAAGTCAAATTTTTAAAGTCCTTAATGAAGAAAAAAGATAAAACAGAGCAGTGAAGGTAACGTGACATCATCACTGCTGACCAGGTCACCATGGAAACCACAGACAAGGCAACCAATCAGGAGACAGGTAGATACTGCAAACTCAGAGTACTCTGGTGACAAGAACCTTCAACTTCTGATTGGTCACTCAGACCTTGGTCAACGACCACAACAGGAAGAGATTTAAAAAGAAAAAGGTCAGAACAGTGTTCCACCTTTCTGTTCATGTGGGAGCTGCAGCAGTCTTAGCCCCGCCCCCAAGTCACCTCATTTGTTAAGCTGTGTGATGACCCGGGTTCTAAAGCTGATCAACAATCTGGACTTGGTTCTCTGGTCCAAGTCTAGGTCAGGTTCCACCACAGTTTCAGCCTTCTCTCCAGTCACAAATGGACTTGGTGTTGGATTCTGGTCCTGTTCTGTGATTGGTCGGAGGTTGATGTGGGAGGAGGTGGGCAGACACCTTCCCTCAGCCTCCTGAGAATCTCTGACTCACTCAGAGAAACACTTCACACTTGTTAGCATTAGCGTTAGCTCTAATGGACTTTCCATGTTTCAGTTCTGTGATGGCGTTTTGTCAAAACGTCGATTTTACTCAGACTGAAAACGACAGAATCCTGAGAGATTCAAGGAAACATCTACAACACCTCCTCTGGGAGGAGGCTGAGGAGGTGTGTGTGTGTGTGTGTGTGTGTGTGTGCCATGTAACATGTGCACCTAACATCCAGCAGCCTTGACAGAACTATTGGGGCCTTCTATAATGGCTCCATAGGTCAAAGGTTATGACCTTGGAGGCTCAGGTGGTGACCTCAGTGGGTCATGTGTGTTGAGAACACCAATCATTAGGTGGTGGGCTGCGGTGGTAACCCAGAGTAGGTCACATGTTCCCCCCATTTTTTTGGTCACTACGACGACCTCTGTATCCAATCTGGGGTCCATGGCAGCTCAGAGGGTCTGACCTCAGGGGTCACATGATCAGTTTCTTCTTCTCTCCTTCGACATCAGCGCCTCCTTCTACTGTGACTCTTCAGTTTATTCCTCTCTTCTTCATTTCCCTCTTCTTCTCCTCTCATTTAATTGCAGCTGTTTGACCTCACGGAGAGTTAGTGTGACCTCAACGCTGAAGACACACACACACAGACACAGTCTCCTGATTGGATCGATCAGTGAGTAGGCGACTGCGCTCTGATTCATACAGTGTGAATTAATGACAAACATCAGAGTTCAGACGTGTCAGACACACACACACATTCATAAGCATGAAGTTGTTTATCATCATTTGAACTTTGACCTCACAGAGTAACCGTGTTTTCCTGATGCAGATTTTGCTCTCAGCTCCTCATTAACACTGACCTTTGACCTGCAGCCCAACCTAAACATCACAGACTGTTAATTAAATTAAATCACTTTCATTTGTTGAGAGTAATTCCTACACAAACTCAGCCCAGTGCACCATGGGAGTTCTCACAGCGGTCCAGGCCTACGGCAGCAGACCTCAGGCATTTCTCTGAGCCAGGTCTGAAATATGTGGCTCTACATTAGGAACATAAACTGATCCTAGTCAGTTCAAAACCAGAGCGGCTGGAACCGGATCTGGAGCTGGATTTGGAAATGGAGTCTACGCCATTCAATTAGAACAGCTTCTAGAACCTGAGCTACAGCTGGGCCAGAACTAAATCTGGTCTATGGTGGAGGTTGGACCGAGCCGCAGAGGAGGAGGAGGAGGAGGAGGAAAACAGAGAAATGCACTGAAACTCTGAGGAAAACAAACTCTCATCATCGTCTGTTTTTCATTTGTCATAAATTATTGGAAGTCGAGTTTAATTAGGTCCACGTTCCCCTGGAGACACACACACACACACACACACACACACACGGTTGTTTAATTGCTTCTGTGTAAAATTCGTTTTTAACAAACTGCCGATTCGACACATTTCATAACAAACACACTCCAGTTGGCTGTAGTTTGTGAACCTCTTCCACTGAAGTCAGTCCACAGAGAAAAGCAGCCATTTAAGAGCACAGGGACACGGCAGCTGCCGGTCCACCGCTGAGTCTTGTTGGCAGTTTGTGTAACTGAGGTAAACATAAATGAAGGGTTGAAAAAAAAAATGAAATCACCAAATAATATTTTTAATTACTAATGGAGGCAGCAGAGGCCCAGCAGCTGCTGAGGCCCTAAATCCTTGGTTTTCTCTATGGACTTTGGTGTGAGAGACTGAGTGGTTTACAAACTTCAGCTTTGAACTGATAAAGCTTTTTATAAATGTTGGAGCTAACACAGAGGGACAGAAACTCTAATCTGTACTCCTCCTCCTCCTCCTCCTTCTCCTGTTGAAGATCACCACACAGCAGAATTCCCTCAGAGCATTTTAATCTGAGGTTTTGGCTCCATCATCAGAAGTCCTCAGCCTCAGTATCCAACATGGGTGGGTTATATTTGGGACACACACACACGCGCGCACACACACTTATTCTGTTGCCTTTCTCTGATAAACTGACTCTGGATCAGTTCCAGTTCCTCTGTTCTTTGTACTGTGTCTCTGGTTCTGGACCTGGACCTGGACCTGGACCTGGTGAGTGTGTGTCTTCCCAATCCCTGAGCTCCAAGCTCTTCCAGGACCTGGAAATATTTCAAAACCTCTCTGAAGTGTGTTCAATGTGAGGAGCCACAAATATGGAGACCACAACCCAGATCCAGACCAGAACCAGAATCAGTCTAGATCCAGACCAGAACCAGAATCAGTCTAGATCCAGACCAGAACCAGAATCAGTCTAGATCCAGACCAGAACCAGAATCAGTCTAGATCCAGACCAGAACCAGAATCAGTCCAGATCCAGACCAGAACCAGAATCAGTCCAGATCCAGACCAGAACCTAGAACAGACTTAAAAAACTCAAATGTTTCTTCTTCTCTTGTTTTAACTTGAGATTTTTGGTCTGTGTGTGTGTGTGTGAGAGAGAGTGTGTGTGTGTGACAAATATAAAGAAATAAACTCGTCTCAGGTTAGGTTCTCTGTGTGGAACCATGGCGCTACCTGCAGGACGACATCGGTACTACAACACCGTTCACTCGCTCTCTTCTTTCCTTATTCTTTTCAAAACTTCCGCAGTTCTCCTGTCGTGACCTTTTACATGACCTTTGACCTCAGGTGTATGACTGAGGTAAAGAGCTGAGGTCACACAGGACACACTGGAGGATATTTATTTTAGTTTCGATTTGAATTAAATGAATTTAAATCAGTTCTTTACATGTTAGCGAGTATAAAAGTGGGCGGAGCTTCAGAGCTGCTCCCTGGAGGAGCTCATCAAGCCAATCAGTTCACTTCAATTAGCTTTAATTAACTCCACTTAGTGTCGACTGACTCCATTTAACTTCAGTTGATTCATTTAAAGTCATTTCACTTCAATGAGACTTGAGTTCAGTGCTGTTTCACATGTACTTCACACACACACACACACACACTCTCTCTCCTCAGGGAGGTTATTTGTACAACAGTTTTTCCCTTTTTTCTCTGCTGCAAACTGACAGAAAATCAATCACGGTCTTCATCACTTCTCCTCCTCCTCTCCCTCCTACAGATCTGTTCTCCTCCTCCTCCTCCTCCTGCTATAGTTCTATCTTTGATCTCTGGTACTGGTTTTTATGATCCATTTCAGAACCAATGGAACAGTTTCTGATCCTTAGAGACAAAGATTTTACGCTTTGATTCTTTAACATGGGACAAAATTAAACCTGTGTGTGTGTGTGTGTGTGTGTGTGTGTGAGAGAGAGAGTACATACAGCAGCACTGGGACCAGGACTTCATCTGAACCGTCATGTCCTCCTTCTCCGTCTTCCTTCCCTCTTGTTTTCTTCGCTTCATTTGCTTAAAAACAGTTTCCACTCTTTTAGACAGACGCTCCTGGGACACGACACTTAAGCCCCGCCCCCTTGTCTTCGTCTGACCTCCAAACATTTTAAGATCATCTGAAAAACAGTTCATTTTCATTTATTTTTTTATTTTTCCTTTTACATCAGTGGAATTTTGGATGAACTTCCTGTTTAAATGAGATTTTATGCTGTTTATCTTGAATCATCTTTATTTTACCGTGTGAAAATAAATACTGTTTAATTCGGTGTAATATGACGTTATGTTAATTGTTTTTATTTGTTTTTAACACATTTTTCACATAACGAACGTTAATAGTTGTTAAATCGTAAAATGGTATTATGTTGACACCTGTGAACGTTAATAGTTCGTAAAATGGTATTATGTTGACACCTGGTGTTCATTTGCATACACTGCATACACAACAAATCTCATCTTTACCTCTCAATTTCTCCCCTTTCCTTCGTCCTCCTCCTCCTTCCCCTTATTGCCACACTTCAACCACTCCTTCATTTCTTCTCCATTTTTATTATTAAATCTCCTGCTCTTTGTTTCTCCTTCTCGGTCTAAGCACGTTTTTCCTTCTTAATTATTCCGGTCCTACTTCCACTTCCTTTTTTTCTCTCGGTCCCCACGAGTGCACAGTCTCGCGATACCTTCCATGTCTTTGATTGGTCCGCTGCTACCCAGGGTCACACCATTTGAAATGGAAACAAGCCCAACTAAAAGAAACAACGTGACGCGTCAAACGGATTAAAGTTCCAAATCCGGTAATGCGCGTGGACCTTCAAATTAAAATCTTAAAGGAAGTTGAATAAAGACGGCGTAAGACACATCTGCTCAGGAACATGTCTACGAAAAAAACACAGCCCACAGCCCAAAACCTTGTGGGAAAATTGCGAATAGCAATATAAGATAAACAAATAAGAACTTACAATTTTGATGCTTTTATTGTGAAGAACAACAAAGACCGGTATCCGAAAGTGCATCGATTGTCGACATAAACTTGACGTTGTTGGTCAACAAAAGGTCTTTCCACCGTGATGTCAGTAATTCTTCGTGTTGTTCCAGTAACTCGGTGAAAGCACTCATTCATTAGCCTCTGTGAGTTCACAGGCTAACGGGCTCTTAGCTCCACAGCTACAGTAACTCCGAGGTCCGACGGTAGCTGTTAGCATGCAGTGCACTAACCTGCTGAGAAAGAGGAGTCTGGGGGAAGAAACGTGGAGCTGCACATCTGTGAGTGAACACACGGAGGATGCAAACAGTTCTAGTATACTTATTTAGTTTATATTTATATTATTTAAAGCACCGTTGTTGTTATTATTATTCTAACTAGATTCGTCTGTGATTCATTAAGCGCGGGTCAAATGACTTTACACGGCGCTTAAATGTAACAAAAGCTTAAATAATGGAATAGTTTTATTTGTAGTTTAGGTCAGGAAACACAGAACTGTTCTAGAGTAAAATAAAATGTTAGCACAGTAATGGGACAGAGTTAAAAAATACTCTTTAGTAGAAGACATGGAAACAGAGAAATAACAAGTCAATGGGATCATCGTTTTAGTAGACAAGGCAGGTGTAAATGCACCGTGGTCTATTTTTAAAGTTGTGTCTGACCAACACCTCATTGACTGGAGGTCATGGACTGTAGAGGACAGTGAAAGGCCATGAAAGCAAAAAAAACAAAAAAGATTAGTAAATTAAATAAATAAAAGTTGACATTTACAGAAAACAGAGTATTTGCATTGAAACACAATGTACATTTTAAACTAAACTAAGAATATTCTAATTTACACAAATTGACAAAAGTTATAAAAGACATGGTTTAAAAAATAATTAATAGCTTAATTTTAGTTGAAATGGCAACAGTCAGTCTGAAAATACAGCTGTGAATATACATTATGTTATGCTGTGGGTTCAGTGATGATGATGATGATGATGATGATGCTTATCTGGTGTTTTCAGAAACGCATGTGTTTGGAGGCGGCGCTGCAGTCACTTGAATGTCCAATGGACACCAGCCACAGTTTCCTTTTAACCAATCAGCATGAAGAACAGCAGGTCAGTAGATGTTGACGTGATGACCTCACAGGTCGGGTGCTGTTTATCACCTTATGACACATTTGACATTTTTTAATGCCTGTGTGCACGTTAATACAGATCGGCTTTGTCCGACCCAGACCTGCTGCTCCATCTCTGTGCTGCCCCCGGTGTCTCGGAGGAGAACCGGTAAGCTCTTTAAGTGTGTTTAGAAGGGTTCTTTACCCCTGATAAGAACGGTTCAACTGTAGGTGAAGGAGAAGCTGCTGGTCACATGATGACTTTATGATTGTTTATCATGTGACCTATGACCTCTGTAGGAACACAGCAGGTGTGAACTGGGTGTGTTTGATTCATGGCCTCTCAGGTCTAATAAAATGAGACTTTTGTTTGTTCACCTTTATGGTCATGTGACTTTTGTTAGTGAGTTTTTTAATATTTATTTCAGGGTCACATCAACCACATCATGGGACTTTGAGCGGATTAATGATCCAACATGAAGAGGCGTGGCCCCCTAAGCCCCCCCCCACCCTGTCTTCATCTGAATTGTCCCATTAGCTCCAACCCTCAGACGTACACTCCCTTCCTGGGATGGTGTTATGACCACGTCCACGGCCAAGGACCAATCTGGTGTTTTTTGTTTGTACTCGTCTCCATTGATGCGTTTGAAGTCACCTCTACACTCCTTAACATCTGCCGTCCATGAATGCACCATCAGACATACGATCTGCTGGTTGAACAGCTCTGCCCCCTGGTGAGCGAACCTTTCAACCTGTTCTAAGCTAACTTCTGAATGGTTCAGACATTGGTTCTGATCCAAAGATCAGCGCTGATTTGAAGGGATGTTTCCTTACAAACCATTGTTAATGTTTTAGTGGGTTATCACTAATTAATAATGATAATGTTCTACTGTGTGGACAGTAAAGGGCTACTGCACTGTTTTTGACCTGACTGAAGTTGATGTTAAACATGTCACCATGTTGTTGTTTTTATAATGTAGTGTTTATGTCAGGCGTTTACTGACAGCCGACCCGATTATTTTTTCTACAAAACAGATTTATTTTTTGATTCACTTTTGTGATTTGACTGAATAAAAAAAAAAAACTCCTGTATTTTGATGACTTCATCACATTCTCTGACTGCATCCACTAATGTGGCAGCTCTTGCACATTGGACTGATTTCAAAATAAAAGTTTTTGACTGAAACGTTTGTTTTGTTTGAAACTTAATTTTTATTACAAAAAATGTTTTTTAATTATCTACAAACTGATTTTTTATTTACCTCCTAATTGGGGATAATATCAAAACAGAACCATTAACTTTTAGCTCTTAACTGAAAAATGGCCATCAACCACCAATCATAGTGCAGAGGTCGCCTTAGCCCCGCCCTCCTCAGCTGTCACTCCCTCAGACGCAGCAGTTTTGTGTTTCTTGGCAGCAGGAGCTTCACCTGTTCAAACAGAGAACCATTAGAGACCAACCTTCTTCTGGTCGACAGAGCTTTTGGTGCCTGATGTGAGGAACCTACAGGTGTCGGCATCAACTGGAGCCCCCTGCTGGTCACTAGTCTCGGTGCAGACCTTCGTGGTGCAAACGATGCCGCTGCCTGTTCGTCTGGTTTCTGAGCACAAACAGACCAACGTTATCACAGCAGTAAAAAACAAAAACAAACCCTGATAACAAGAGGGTTTGACTTCATGGTAAATCAGATCTACAGACCGTGGACCTGAGGACCAGGGTCAACACACGTTTGACTCACCTGCGTGTCGAACCACAGAGTGACAGGTGGAGGACACGGCTTCTTTAGCAGTTTGGTCTGTGAGACCGAACAACAGAGCTCTGAGGGAGTGATCAAGGAGGGAATACACACGCACACAAACACACACATAGTAACAACAACAACAGGATACAGGTTGGTGATGTCATAGGGACCTCTGAGCTCCAGAGCCTGGAAAACACACATTTATATACAGAGGTCAATGTCGCTAATCAATAAAATAATAATAATGGTCAATACTGACAGAGTTAGTCAATACTGATTAACAGATGGTTCTAATCCTACAGTAAACACTGAGGTATTGATTACTGACGACTCACCCTCTCTGCTGCACTGGAGATGATCATGCCCTACAATAAAAAACACAACTTAAAAAAACAAAAAAACGACTGATGACATCACTGTGATGTCATCAACCACAGTGATAGTTTTCAGTGCACTGAAGGACCTGACATGAGACTTTAAAAATGTTACGTCATCAAAGTGATGTCAAGAGAATGATGATGTCAGAATGACATCATCAGGATGTACCTTCCCCTTGCTGCGCTCAACCAGATTGACAGCGTTAGCGATGGTGTAGCGCCTCATGGTGGAGTCCCTGATGGCAGCGGCGTACGAGATCTCAAACATCACGCCTCGGTCGATGGCCTGGACACACACACACACACACACACAGACACGTGTTGTAGATGCAATGATGGTTAATCTGAAGATGATGTCAGCGATGACCTCACTCCGTTGACTGAGCCTCTTTTAAAGTGGAAGGGCAGCTTCTCTGTGACGATGACGCAGATGATGTCAACATCGTAGGTCATACACGCCGCCTGTGAAGGCATCGTTTAACATCACGGTGTGTTCATGTGACACAGGGACAAAAGTGACAATTAAAAAAATGAAGAAGAGTCTGTGAAGCTCACGTGGAACAACTTCTCTGATGTCGGCTGCAACGCCAAAATGTCAAAGTGTCGATACTCGGGGGCCGTTGATCTCTGAACACACACACACACCAATGATGGTTTATGTCCAATAATCTGATTGATTAGTCAACTCAAAGATCCTTTTTCAAACGTACAAAGTGACTGGACTCTGACATCACCACCGTCAGCCTGTTCAGCACTCTGATTGGGCGAGAGCGACCCTGGAAACAAACACACACACTTGAGGGAACGCTAGAAAACCACGTGAGTCTTCCTCAGCATCTTCATCATCTTCACAGTACCTGAACGATGGGCAGCTGCTCAAACAGCTCTTTGATTTGTGCGGGTTTGGGCACTTCCTGGAAAACAGGAATTGAACAAAGAACTCAAAACATACATCAAATAAAGACAAGAGAATATCTATGTTGTCTTTACACAAGGATAATAATCAGTAGAAATAAAAACGTTTTTTTAAATGAGTCATTTGGAATCATTTGTATAGGATATTTTATGGTTATTAAGATTAATGTTAATGGTGTCAGTTCATAATAGTTGACTTTAAAGTCACCTTTTTCTTTGACTTTTTGATTTCTAAAAATAAACCATATCTTGTATCCTATAATTTGGAATTAAAATCTAACCTTTTAGTTTTACAAGCGTTAACAGCTTTCTGATCCTGAATTTTTCAGGAGAAACGTCAGAAATCTCAAAGAAAAAACTTCTGACGTCAACCGTAACATGACGATCTCATTTGTCTCCAACCTTTTTTTTTTTTTTTTTTACCGTTTTGACCGTGAAGGCACCACAGTAGTAAAGACTCACCTTTTTCTTTTTGGTCAGTTCAAATGTGTAGTTGATGGCCACTGTGGAATAACCGACTAAAGGAAAGGAGCAGAAAAACTCATTGACCTATAGCCGAAACCAATAGCCGATCAATTAACAATCAAGGAGTTAGCATCTTTATCATGTCAAATTAAATCACAACCACGGCAATGCACACAACTTAGGTTAAAGCAAATGTGTTCCATTAGCCCTGAAGCTAACGCTGTTAGCTTCCACTCCGCTGTGACAGATGGACAGCGGAGGTTTAAAGACCGGATCTGTAACAGTGACACGGCCGCAGACTCACGCTGAGCCGCGGTCTCTATCAGTCTCTGGAGGCTGCTCTTGTCCTCTGTATAACTCAAATTTAAATCCATGAACACAGACATCTTTGCTGCAATTCTTCCACAACAGTACAAGAACACGCGTGGAGCCGCATTGCCTGCTGGGAAATGTAGTTCTTTTTTCTTAAAGAAAACTCTCCCTCTCTGGCGTTTAAATGAGCCGGGAAACCATTACAATCTCAGGTTTAACGTTAAATTAAGGTAAATAACTAATTTTTTTTACATTATTACATAAACCGCTGGTGAAATTCTAATGATTTATCAGTTAATAAGAAGAGACGGGAAATTAGCCTAGCTGTTGTCCTAAATGTTACTGAAACATAAAGGAGATAATCTGTTCAGATGAAACTTTGCCCTAAAATGCGCGTGGCTGTGGCAACATGGAGTAGAACGTTTTTCAAAAGTGTAGAAAACATGAAGGGTTGATCAAAACAGCTGAATGTTGGCCAAGATAGATGAACAGTAAACAGAGAGGCAGATGTTAGAAAATCTGAAGGTTCTATTAAAGTGAGTTTGTACAAAGGTTCAGGAATTATAAATGAAAAAGTCCTTTAAAAATGACTACTAGTCCCAAGATGCTTAGTGATTTACATGACATGACATTACAGCACCAATCAGTATTTAGCTACTCTGTAATCAGATGGTTTCACATGGAAGGTTCCCGATGCCTGGCTCAGAGGTCAGAGTTCAGTCTCAGCCTCTGGCCTGTCGCTGTCTCTCTGCCCACTCTGTGATCAGACGGTTGCCAATGGCGTGCCTCGGTGGCAGCCAGTCCGCAGGTGGGTCCCCTCGTCTGGGTGGAGTCTTGACCTGAAGAGCCCTTTCCACTTCCTCCAGACTGAACCAGCGAGCGTCCTCCAGCTCCGTGTGGTCTACATCCAACTAGACAGTAAACAGCACAGGTAATCCTGCTGGGTTCCTCTAGGCTCAGGTCAGGGATCAGGACTGTGTGCTCACCTGGGTGTGGGCGGGGCTAACAGAGGCATGAAGGCCCAACATGAAGGAGCTGTGAGGGAAGGGCCAGTGCTGAGAGGAGCTGTAGCAGATGTTACTGACCTCCAGACCAACCTCCTCGGCCACCTCTCTGTGCAGGGCCTCCTCCACTGACTCACCTAGAGTGATCAGAGACAAACGGTGAAACCAGGACAGAACCAGGACACAGGGAACCAAAAAAAAAAGAACCACCAACATTAGACTGACCCATGTCACAGAAACCTGCCAGAGCACTGTACAGCCCTCGAGGGAAAGATGGCTGTCGAGCCAAGAGGCACCGTTTCCCATCAGACACCAGGACAATGATCACTGGAGACATCTGCAGTAGAGACCAGGTCAGGTCAGACCAGAGGAGACCAGAAGAACTTAGACTAGGATCTGCTCTACCTTAGGGTAGTAGATGATCCCACTGCTGCTGCAGACTCTCTGACTCCCTGACTGGTTCCTGTGGGTGGGTCCACCTGTGGC